CTCCAACCCCCCCCCCCCCAAATAAATCCTTGATATTTTAATGTTCTGAATGAAATAACCATATACATGTAGGTATACTCACCAAGTGATGTCAGGGGTTTCCCGTCCGGGGGGACGATGTAGTTTCCCATGGAATCTCGGGTGACTAAAAAAAATACATGCTATCAGTGGTTTAAAAAAAGGACCAATTTCAAGGTGTCATTTATTAATGCTGGACGCGTCATGAAAAAAAATATACAAACACTTTTTGCATTACATTGATTTATAATCAATCTAATGTATCATTTATATACTTGATATTTCCTTTTCTAGATTTTGTGGAAAGGAAATTAAAATTTGGAGATTATCGATGAATATTAAGTTCCTACTCATCAAATTATAGAACTACCGATAGATGATAAAAGATTCATTGTAAGTGATCATCGTCACCTCTACTAGGCAATGACTACTACGAGTACGTAGATCATTGTACCTGCTTCCTCTACTAGACAATGACTACTACGAGTACGTAGATTATTGTACCTGCTTCCTCTACTAGACAATGACTACTAAGTACGTAGATTATTGTACCTGCCTATAAGACAATGACTACTACGAGTACGTAGATTATTGTACCTGCCTACTAGACAATGACTACTACGAGTACGTAGATTATTGTACCTGCCTACTAGACAATGACTACTACGAGTACGTAGATTATTGTACCTACTTCCTCTACTAGACAATGACTACTAAGTACGTAGATTATTGTACCTGCTTCCTCTACTAGACAATGACTACTAAGTACGTAGATTATTGTACCTGCCTACTAGACAATGACTATACTACGAGTACGTAGATTATTGTACCTGCTTCCTCTACTAGACAATGACTACTACGAGTACGTAGATTATTGTACCTGCTTCCTCTACTAGACAATGACTACTAAGTACGTAGATTATTGTACCTCCCACCTCCACTAGACAACGACTACTACGAGTACGTAGATTATTGTACCTGCTTCCTCTACTAGACAATGACTACTACGAGTACGTAGATTATTGTACCTGCCTATTAGACAATGACTACTACGAGTACGTAGATTATTGTACCTGCTTCCTCTACTAGACAATGACTACTACGAGTACGTAGATTATTGTACCTGCCACCTCCACTAGGCAATGACTACTAAGAGTACGTAGATTACTGTACCTGCCTCCTCTACTGGACAATGACTACTACGAGTATGTAGATTATTGTACCTGCCTCCTCTACTAGACAATGACTACTACGAGTACGTAGATTATTGTACCTGTCTCCTCTACTAGACAATGACTACTAAGTACGTAGATTATTGTACCTGTCTCCTCTACTAGACAATAACTACTACGAGTACGTAGAGTATTGTACCTGTCCCCTCTACTAGGCAATGATCCCCATATAACAAAAACAGAACAACCACTTTGTTTAATACATTCAGCTAACAATTAAAAGGCAAATTTTAAAGGCGGATCCAGGGCCGGTGCGCCGCCCCCCCCCCCCCCCCTTTCCGTGTGAATTATTTGTATGTAGAAATTATATGACCATATTATCCTAAAATCAAGGAAAAACATTTCTTATTTGTAAGAATTTTTTCAGCTTCCGGGGGCTTTGCCCCCGGACCCCTTCCAGAGCTTTGTCCTAGTTCCACTTGGGGCTTCAATGGAGCCCCCCAGACCCCCTTGCCTCCTACTGCGCCCCCCGTTACGAAATTCCTGGATCCGCCACTGAATTTTCACCCTACCATCTATGACATGTTTAATGAATTAGTCTTAAGTTTGCCTATTATAGCAAATGGTGTGCATCATATAGGACCAAAGAAAATTTTACAATATCAAATTGTTTTTCTCGTTTTGTTTTTCATATTTCATGTGTACATAATATAAATCTGTTTGATCCCCACCGTCAGCTGCTTTCCGATTTTAATGAAATGAACCCCTTTAATGTGACATTCAATTTCCACGTCAGTATTGACTTTTAATTATTCTTTTTCGGTTTATTGACCATCTTTATTCCGATAACCGTGTTTCAGTTTGTTTTTTATATCTTTAAATTTGATCCAAATCAATGCGTCAGTTCGAGAAGAAAGTTATTTTATGTTAACAATTATTTTTACGACAGAAAGAGATTTCTGCAACAAACAAATTCTCCTTGCATCATATCTGGCGGTAATTGTTTAACTGAATTTCTTCAATCAATAATGATGGACTAACTATAAATTTTGCATAGAGGATTAACACATTAACTAAATTTTCTACCTTTTATTGATTTTTTTATTCCAAAGAGAAAAAAAATGTCTTTGAACCAAATAGAATTATTCATCTAAGGCTAGTCCTCTTCAAAGCTCATTTTAAATTCCTGTTTGTCTTCCAATCTTGAGAGTCTCATAAATTCATTCATTTGACGATTTGCTTTCAAGCTAATTAGTCATCTTTAAATTGTTTCAATAATAACTCAGGTATTTACATGTATACAAGATTTTGATACCATTTTAGTTTTCGTTTGCTTTTTATTTAAAATTTACATTTTTTCTTGATATACTGGTTAGATCAATATACAAATTGCAAATAAAGGACAGATGCTACCAAAAAAAACAACTTTTTCTTCAAAAATCAAAAAAAATAACTACATAAAAGTTTATCAAAAGTGTCTGTTAAAGTTTCATATTTTATTCAAAGCTTCTCAATAATGTCCTATAAAGTGATTTTAAAAAGTACAGATTTATAACAGTAATGGCAAGGAGGAAGAAATTTGAACATTATAGAAAGTCTATGGCTACAATTTCTTTATATTTTAGAGATTTGATATGTACATCATTTACGACCGAAATAAGTCAAAAAATATAAACTAATCCATGCATCCATTTTTGATTTATATATATAGCATCAATCCTTTAAAATTAAAAGAAGGAATCTAATGGAATTTCGCTTACCTCTTCTCTTTTCCTTTTTTCTTGCTATTTCCTTCATTGTTTATACATGTATCATAGGTAATTTACCAGAATACGCGAAAGCGTGAAAATCGAAGACTATATGAATACCGATTCCCTGTCACCGCAATGTTAACCCAGTCAGTCATAAACAGCAGCTAATGAATTCTCGGCATCACACGGGCTTGCATATTTATGCTGCAAACTAATTAACTTTCCCTAGCATATATCACTATTTTTTTTAACTCTGATTGCATATATAATCACCGTTTTGAAAATGCAGCCTTAATCAGTGCGATAATCAATGCTTGTGAGGCCCTTCTCTTCACTGGAAGAAGTTAACACAGATACATTGAAAATAATTGTACATAAATATATGTTATATTACCTTCATAAATTTGCTTTCGAGTCGCATAGTTGAATTTTCTTTTGAGATATGGAAGGTGCAAATTGTTTTTCATTGGATTTTTCATCGCCATTATTTCCTCCCGACGTGTTGATCTATTGTGACGTCACATAAGATTGACGTAACAGAACATCCCCGAAACTCGCAATGATCTTCGTATCTTTGATGGCATTATGACTGCTTTTCATTAAATTATTGAAATCGTCTGTTACCCAAAAATGGACTGGCGCATTTATTGCACCATTTTCCTGCTATTATAAATAAAGAAATTTATGGTATAATGTGACACAATGAATCAGCCATTAAACGCTATAAGATAAACATTGCACAATTTTTATTGCACAGCCCAAATGAGTTTAAGAATTTATATCGTTTATGACCTCTCAAGTGACATTTTCATGTCGATGTTTTAAATTAACCTTGACATGCAATCACAGAAACGATTTCAGAATCCAACAGAAAGTAAATACAGGTATTTATGATTCCTGATGTCGTTTTGCTTTTTTCTTAATTTGTTTTACTCATATATGCTCAAATTAAAACATAATTATTGATTTAGGAGCTGTCTAATATGGAGAAAATACATTTACAATACCGGTTTCTGTACAAATGAATGGATACAGTGTATGAGATTTACAATGTAATGTACAATATAAAGCAATTAATACTGAGCCAATACAAAACAAAACAAAAAATAATATCAATCAGAGAAATCATAAATGCGATATTTTTTAACTGGATTAATTAATTATGACGTTTTCCGCCATAACAATTAAGGAAAATTTTGGGAAATTTTTGACCCGGCTTTAAACCACAGATCAGTGGAGACTCAAATTATCACTTTGTTCCTGACTTGATTCTTACGTCAGAGGCGAATGAATAGTGATTGTGCCATTGCCACGCGCTTATCATATCCCATAATCACCGCCATCAGTATCGGGCACTCTTTTTACCGAGTCCCTTTGTCTCTGCTGATGTCCGCCATTAGAACGCGATGACCCGATAGAGATTCTTATTCAACCAAAAACAATACCATCAAACGAAGAAACTCGACACTGTATAATTTAAAAAGACGTATTTTAAATTCATATTGAGGGGCTATGTAGGGAACTGGGTGGTATAAATTTTATTACCTCAAAATCAGTCGAATTTTTTTTCTCTGTCAATGTTGTCTTGCAAAAATAAATTTTCAACTGTACATGTTAAGGGAATAAAGAAATTAAAACTACAGAATCCAAAATTGTCTATTCTTAACATAATATTTTCTTTCGTTTTTGTAATATTTTACTTTTTATATCCACATACGAAAAGAGTTTTCAATATCGGGCACAAAAATATTTTAACGTACAACCTTTTCTTGATCAGCTCATACATACATACATACAGACAGACAGACCAAATAAGTACTAAGGATTGTACACACCCCTGAAGAGACCCCAGGTCAAACTGTGTATTGAACATAAAACAAAGTTAAGACGCATGTTATGGTACAGTCACTCTGATGTTTTGGAGATATTAAATCACAGGCTGTGGGAACATCTATATTCTGCCAAAAACAAGACAGACCCTTCACGAACAATCGGAGAAACAGGCAGAAGGGTAAACGCAAGACGGAACGGTTAAAAAAGAGACAGCGGAATTAAAATTGGAACTTAATTTTTTACACTAACATGGATGCAGAACAAAGGAAGCGAATTACTTCGAATATAACATTTCTGAAAGAACGTTTGGGATATCTGGATCCCATTCTTGATCGTCTTGTTGAGAAAAATGTTTTGACAATGGAACAAAGAGAAAGGATTGAAAAGGTCCAGCCGCCAACACCACATAAAAAATTCAACGAGTTCATACAGTTTCTGTTGGCTTCTCCGGGACCCGGAACGTTTCCGGCATTTATCGCGTCCTTAGAAGAGGAGCGGTTCTTCAACATCGTGGAAAAACTACAAAAAGATGGTAGGTGTTTAGATTGAAAAATATGTTATAAAACCCCGACAGGTCTAATGATCTGCTTTTCTCCCATATTTCTAAACATTCTGTACATCCAGTTTATACAGCCGAGTACACAATAATTACCTCAGTCGTAAAACAGTCTATGACTATATATTTCATTTGCATTTTTAATATGGATGGTTTAATTCCTGTCTTTAAATTTTAAAGCTCTATCTCTATTCGTTATCAATTAAACTAATTAATCTTGGTGTATTTACAAACAATGAAAGAGTTGCGTTAAACTCTGAAACAAAATGCTTAATGAAATGACTTTGCAGAAATCCGTATACTGTATGTGGATAATGAATTTCACATTTGGTTGGAAGAAAATGAGAAAAATTGACTTGAATTTTATTTGTTTTGACAACTGCAAATAATCAGGACATTCAGATAAATATGGAACACCTAATTATGCGTTGAACATTGTTAATAAGGTTGAGTTATCTGTTCACAAGAATTATATTTTAATTAATGAATTTTATGAGATGTTATGAATTATTTCAAAATTTATTTCAAGTTCCTGGAAGGAAAACAACTGTAGCACGTGACTCCTACGTCAGACCCCAGACTAGCGTCTCCCGTCCTACAACAGCCGTACTAACGCAACAGACCACTGAAACAAATGTGAGTACATCTGGGAACAGAGAAAATCATTGTTTATTTGAAGTGAACACAGAACATCAAAAAAATGTAACCACTAGTATCTGTCGTATATACATGTATATAATTATATGGCTCATGGAGAGAACTAATATATAGGCCACTTTTTCCTGCTGTTCAATCCATGTTCATTGTATATACTTCTATGTATATCGTGAATAAAATACTTCTTAAACTAATCAAATTAAACTTAAACTATATGGCTTAGTATTTTCTTGTTTAATATCCTCTTTTTATGTATTTTTTCTCTTATAGAGTGCGGTTCCAGAAAAAGTTTCGAGATCGAAGACCACGATATACAGACAACCAGCATACCATCTTGTTGACGATGACTCGGATACGATCCAGTCTGAATCACCAGCTCCACAGAGCCCTTCTCCAATCAGTCGACCAAAGACATCAACAAATCACGATCCTCATTATGGAGGCGCAAAAATCGCAGACAGGGTAACTGTTGCCGTGGGACACATGTTTGCAGAGTTCAGTGGTAAACTGACCAATGATCTTTTAGACGGGTTCGAGAGGAGACGCCACGAGGAAAGGATCGACTTAGAAATTCGAATCGAGAAGAAAATTGATCACGTCATCGACAAACGTGTCGACGAAAAACTGGCAACATTCAAGCAAGAATGGGAGCAAGAAAAAGCAAACTATTTACAAGGAAATCAGAAGGCTTTGAATGCTCTCTCTGAAAGTATTGAAAGTCTACAGGCATACCAAGAGGAATACCTCCAGCTGAAGCAAAAATACGAGCAGCTACAACATACCCACTCTCAGATGCGCGAGAAAGAAAACGAGAGATGGCAAAAGTTGTCCGTCTTGAATAAAGATAACAACACATTGAAGAACGAGGGAGAAGTCTTACGTGGACAGATAATTGAGCTCAGAGATCGGGTACAGGAACTGGAGAGTGACAACAGAGTCCTCAAGGACAACGAGATCCAGGATCAATGCAAGATCAACCAACTGGTGGCGGACAAAGAGGACCTTCTGGCCGAGCTGGAGAGAACCGAGCGCGAGAAGATGGATCTTAAGATGCGAGTGGACACTCTCTCCCGTGAGATCGAGAAATTATTGAACAGCCAACAGGAGCGTGCCAGTCAAGAGGACAAAGCATACCAAGACGCTCTGCGTAAACAAAATGACCGACTGGATGAACTGTACAAGGTCGTTCAAGCTCTTTCCGATCGGGATCGGCAAACCAGAAATCTGTTTATCGGTGGTTCCACAATGTCGAAGGCGATCAGAACTTCTGCTAGACCAAACAAATAAAAACGGTTAAATAAGTTCGGGACTCCGCGTGGAAAGTGTAAAAAGAAGCCACTATCGTCATTTGTTTGGATAAATACCATAAAGAGAATTTAATATTTTATGTATTAAAATAGAATTTTTGAAATGGCGTTGTTGAATAAGTAGCAACATTGAGAACTGCATGCTAAATGTAGATAAAAAAAAGTATGAAAATATGTATATAATTACTAACATGACTAATTAAAAATATGTGGCTGCATTTGGTTTGGCAATAGAAACCGAACATAATCTGCATATTAAAAGAGTTCATTAATAATTGACCTTTCGAGTTATATGCTATTGCCAATATCATTTTGATACAGAGATTGATAATTATAAAGAGCATCATAATTTTATCAATATAAGGAAAACATTCAAATATGTTGGACTTGATTTCTTAATGAGACATCTTAGGATAAACATTAAATGTACTTTAAAGTTTGTCCCTGTTTTCGTACATGTATACTTGTTTTTACCATACTCTTGTTTATTTTTTATTTTATTTCTGTTATCATTATTACATTATTTGATTTATCAGTTAGTTAAATAACTGCAAAGAACATTTCAGACATTTTTCGTCTAATGTCTATTCAAGAAGTTTCTTAAAGCTTTTGAATATAGTCTGATTTTATCAGCTTCAGATTTGGACGGCCCTTCCGTTTGTGTTGTTATTATCTGTGGTATTAAATCAGTCATCTGTCGTACATTCGTACACTTGTTCCAGAGGCTGATTCGCGTTTTGTTCATAAGCCAAGTTTTATATACTGTGTTCATAAGTACATTTAAAAAGTTTCGTAATACGTCACAAATAATAACTGTTTATAAAACTAATTTTTAAAAAAAAAAATGAGTTATTGAATATTCACTATGGTTTCTCCCACATTTATTTTGTAGTGAAATTGTTTTGTTACGAACTACAGTTAACAAATATCATGATGGTAAAGATCTAGTTGATTTGGTTTGTTTTAATCAATATCATTTGTATTTATTAATGAACAAAAAACAAAAATAATCTCTGAAATATTCTTGATATGTACATGTTTATGAAAAAAGTTTTCAAATAAAGAATCTATTTTCACTTAAAAATCTTTATCATCACTTTAAACACAGAACATAGAGTCTATAGAGAAGAGAGATAACTTTGACGATAGTATACAGAAATGATCAACTTGACAAAGATATGATTTTGAAAGGACTGAAATTGAGGAGGGAAAATAATGAAAAAAATATATCTGCAAAGTCTTGGAGACCCTTCAAGAAGAAAATGTTGCTACAGTAACTGTTGTCATAGCCTAGAAGCGGAGTACTAATTGTGAATGAAAACATGTCTGGGGAATAATTTTGAATGAAATATTCTCATTTATACTTCTAAAGTAAAGACCAAATATTATATCACTTTTATGATTCAGAAACATTATACTCTATCATAAAATCATATACGAAAGGAAAAAGGAAAGAATTTTCCTGCATTTCTAAAGCCAAAAAGTTTGGTGTCTAGGAGAGTATTCCATGATGTTTAATACTATAATACAATGTATCATTAAGAACTTCGGCGCAATGCTTGCAATCTTGAATCATTCACTGCAGTATCATTTATGTGCTCGGGCAATGCTGCCTGGTGTCCAATTCCTTAATGCATATATAGGTCTCCAAATATCACATACCAGTATATCAGATGTCATCAAAGGTCATAAAATCTTAAAGATCAATTGCATTGTAGGGTTTTGACAGAGATGATCGAATTTGTGATCTTTATTCCTCTAAAAATTTAGGAGACGAATTCCACTATCTTTTAGAATGTGCTTTTTTCAAAAGAGAACGAAAAAAACTTGTTCCAAATATTTTTATGCCTCCGTAATCGAAGATTCGGGGGCATATAGTTTTTGCCCTGTCCGTCCGTCTGTCTGTCTGTCTATCTGTCTGTCTGTCCGCAAAAACTTTAACCTTGCCCATAACTTTTGATTGGTTGGAGTTATGGCTTTCATATTTCACATGTGTATTCTTTGTGACTAGACCTTTCTTTGGGTACCATAAAATTTGACCTTTTGACCTTGGAGTTTGACCCACTTTTGCAATATTTTTTCAGACTTTAACCTTGACCATAACTTTTGAATAGTTGGTGCTAGGGCTTTCAAACTTCACAGGTGTATACCTTGTGATAAGACCTTCCTTCAGATACCAGCAACTTTGACCCTTTGACTTTAAACTTGGAGTTTGACCTACTTTTACAAAACTTTAACCTTGCCCATAACTTTTGAACGGTTGGTGCTAGGGCTTTCATACTTCACATATGTAATTGTTGTCACAAGACCTTCTTTTGGATACCAACAACGTTGACCCTTTGACCTTGACCTTGGAGTTTGACATACTTTAGCAAAAATTTAATCTTGGCCATAACTTTTGAACGGTTGGTGCTAGGGCTTTCATAATTCACATATGTAATCGTTGTGACAAGACCTTCCTTTGGATACAAACAACTTTGACCCTTTCACCTTGGAGTTTGACCTACTTTTGAAAGACTAACTTAAGTCATAACTTTTGAACGGTTGGTGCCAGGGATTTCATATTTCACATGTGTATTTCTTGTAACATTGTAGAAGTCCTTTCCTTGGGCACCATTAATTTTGACCATTTGAACTAGATGTTTGACTTACTTTTGAAAAACTTTAAACTTTTCCATATGTATTCAATGGTTGCTGCTAGGGTTTTCATATTTCAAAGGTATATTTCTCTAGACAAGACCTTACTTTGGATACCAACATATTTGATTTGTATTTGAGAAAGTTTAAACTTTGATATGAGTTGCCATACGGGGGCATCAGTGTTTCACAAACACATCTTGTTTTATGCTAACCCTAATGTTATCAAATTTCATGACCTGTTAAATTGTAAGGACGCTAAAGTCATTTTTGGACTTGCCAAATTTTGCAAAATTTTATTGTCAGTAATAAATTAATAATAACAAAACTACTGTATATAACATGTTGTAATACATTTAGATTTATTTAATACTAGCAGAGGCCTTCTATACTTTGATGTTTTGAACTATACATGTATATAATAGTAATTAACATTAGTGCCACTCATTCATGCTTGTATGTTATTTTGTTGTATCATTTGTATTCATATACTCCAGTTGGGGTCTTTGTCCTAAATAAAAACTTGAAACTTGTAGCCGCTGATCTAAACTTCTGTTTGATGTCACAAAGGAGAATAACTTGGTGTCTCATGCTGCCCTTCTTCATTTAGTTTGCAGGTTAAGGATGCATCATGACCTTGGGTATGCAGAATATCACCAAGGTCAATATTATTGTGATTTTTTTAGATATACATGTACACATTATGATAGATCATTTGTGCACAGTGTATAACACAGCAGCTCTTGTACTGGGATCTTTTTTCAGGCCCGTCGCAACGGTTTCAAAAGGGGGGGGGGGGCAACTTCCCAAAAATATCTGACAAGCAAAAAAAAAAGTTAATTCACTGTCCATGTCCATATCCTGATATAAAAAAAAAGGGGGGGGGGCAACTAGCATCTAAAGGAAAATTAATACTATACTCAGAAAAAAGTGGGGGCGTCCCACTGCCACCCCCCTTGCGTTCTACGGGCCTGGTTTTCTCTAAACATTTTGGGGTTTTTTAAAATTTCGATCAGTTGCTAGCCTAAAAAGCTTAACGATGGATGGAAAAGTCGAGAAATCAATTTAACTAAAAATGTTAGCCTTTAATTACATTTCAGAAGAAGTCTCTTATGATTCAACAGTTTTTATTGCAATATATTTATTTGAACAAATCTCAACGAGAAATACAATGTTCAATGTTACGTAAAATGTTGCTTAGTACGAGGATACAGTAACAACGCAAAAGTAGTGATCAATAATATGTTTCTATATTTTACAGTATTCATTACTGGTAGGATTTCTCTATTTTACAGTATATTTCTTTATTTTACAGCATTTATTACTGGTAAGATTTCTATATTTTACAGTATTCATTGGTCCGTTTCAGTGTAACGTCCTTGTCCAGTTAATAGGTTCCAGTTTTAATCTTTCTCTGTCCATTCTATCATCTAAATATTTTTCGTTCTTCTCTTTCATCCATTTCTTTTCCATCAGCTGAAAAGGGGAAAACGGACTATGTACATGTCTCCATCTGAGATGCAAGTTACAGCTGGGCTAAAATATATCGCTTTATTTTTCTATTTCAAGACTTTATGCTCATTTATAATATAAAATTCCCTACATATTTTGTATATTACTAATAATCTAACAATCTGTGCTTTTTCAACCCCAATACTTGTAATTCAGTGTATAAATTTATAAACTTTAAGGACATACGCAGCGTAGTTTGAACTTTATTGTCTTTTCGCCTGGAGTTGAAGAGTTCCAATACTTGAAAGAACTGTGTGCTACATTTTAATGTCTATGTATGCTGTTGTATACTTCTTCTAAAACAAGTTTTGATAAACAAAACATCTGGAATATATGTTTAGTAATTTTTGTGTATTTTTCTCTGAATTATACAAGAATTTTCATCAGTTGATATCTTTTCAAACCCCCTGGTCATGCATGCTGATTTTTTGTATACAAACGTCTGATGGCACTATAATCTTAAATTAAGAATATCTTGAAAAATTATCAGTAGGTAAGGTACGTTGCGTATGTCCTTAAGGTGCCTTGTATTATGGAAAGGATTATGGTGAAAACAGAGATTGAGCATTAAAACATTACTTCTTTATTGGCGTCCCTGAATTGTTGTAGATAGATTCGTTTATTTATCCGGGACTGTCTTTCCTTATCCACATCATTCCTGTCTATATCTATATAGAAATCACTCTCCTTCGCTCTCTCCCAGAAGTCTCTCTTCTTGTTTACTTCATGTTCTAATATCTGATTCTTCAACACCGACAGAAATTTAGGTCTGAAATAAAAAAAAAAATATGCATGTGCATCGGGCTTTTTTGCATAAATGCGTGTTTTGTTGGTCGGAAAATATTTTATTTTCACAACTTGATGAACTATGGGTTGAAAAATAAATGTTCTGTCTTTCTTGAGAGAGAAAGAGAGAAGGGAGAGGGAAAGTTGTCAAACCATGCATAAATTTAAAAAGTACCCGTAAATGTTAGTCATGTTTCATATATAACTGAATCTTCTTTGATCATGATTTTACATCTTCTATAATTTGTCACGAAAAGTCTAGAACTACAATGATATTTAATCGGATTGTTCTCAAATGAATGATCTAATTTTAATTTATTTGAAAAATCTTGAAGTTTAATTTAGAAACGAAGCAGGACTAGGAGAGCGATTTCAATTCAGTTCTGAGAGTTGTGAAGACAAGATACTTACTTGTTAATTCTGTATTTCTCTTCCATCTTTTATTTCCTGTCCCTCTGCAGAATACACGGGAAGGGTCAGTTTTTCTACGTCATATCTCATTGACACTCTAGATTTTCGGTCCGATATCATTACAGAAAATGTATGTCAGACATATCGCGCTCCAAAAGACTCTTATAGAAGAATAGATTTAAACAACTCAAGGTATCCGTTTTGTCAAGGAATATCAAGCGCCTCTTACATGCCTTTGTATATCACTGTTGGTCAGAATATTTGCAGAAAAAATATCATATTTGTATGTAGATATATATTAATGTGTTGCAAAGATTTTGATTTCAAACGGAAAGGTTTAAACAATAAATCTTTCATACCTTTATGTATTTAAGGTAAACAGAAAAGCTGATCGATCTGAGACTTTTAAGGTGTAATTATTGATCTAATTTTATTGGAGACCAAACTTTAAATGTTTTTATCTCGTAGTACTTTTGTATATTTCCTCCCAAGTTTTTATCCGACATTTTGAAGGAAGAAATGATCATGCAGGAAAGAAAGAAAGGCTTACGTTTTTTTTTTCAAATATCAATTACTGTTTTAATGCCCCTTTTCACAATAATGTGTTCTAAATGTGAAAGTAGTTACAAATCGATGGCAAATTTTAAAGTGCATCAATTATAGATTTGTGCTTTTGTATTTTTTGTGCATTCGATTCAATTCTCCTATCACATCAGTATCTTAATATATTTTAATACTACAGAATTAATTTATTTGATTGTTTCTGTAATGTTTTTCATATTCTTATTTATTTTTCAGTTGAAGAGAATTCTTTTTGCCGATAGATCCACTTGCTACGTTTTATTCGACATATACCATGAAGAGTTTGAGAAATGACCTCCCCTCCTCGCAATCAAGTGTGAAAGGTGAAGTATTTGTTAGTTTTTCTATATACATGTATAGAATGTATCCTTGTGGAAAGAACAAAATTAAACGCATGATTTACTTAACAAAATAACGTCGTTTTGATCACAGAAATTTTCAATTAAACTTTAAGGTGATTAAAATTAACTGAAATTTTAAAGTCATTGGATTATTATTAAAGTACATTGTTTTACATTAAGTTACTGTCCATCTATAAAAGTAAAGATGTTATGAATATGTTACTTTACTTTTGAATTTGATGGAGTATAATTTAAAATTGTACTCAATTCTCCTTCCCGTGGTTTGGTAGATAGGAAAATTTTAAAAGCATACCATACTGTACGTTACTCTAGACTTTCTATGAAAACTTTACATTTAACGAAGAAAAATTCTGTTTATCATTTTGTAACATCTCCTCTTCAATTAACTTTGCAATAATTTCTCTTGACAACCTCAGTTCATATAAGTGAATCCCTTTTACCGTCAGTAAATGACTATTTGCGACATTAAGTTTTCTTTGTTACGTACCTCAATAGTCATTTTAAATTACTACAAGAAGATTTCTTTTTGTAAATTTTGTGTTTACAACCACCCAGTTAGTTACAAATTTTACAAGTAGTCTCTCCCTCTCCCTCTCTCTGAAAAATCAATTTAAGGATGAATAACACAATTTTTTTCTTTAAAAATTCAAATATATTTGCTTAAATAGGTGCCTCTCTCACTAAAGAAGTAATATTTGTTGAGTTTTAAAGAACTTAATGTTTTGCCAAGCCAGACACTTGATTCGGTGAGAAATGGGAAAATGTAACTTTACAGTTCAATGTTATTTTTGAAAAGCTTAAGAAATATATGAAGTTTTGATACTGTCAGGTTTTTTGGAACATTAGACAGAGTCTATTTTTTAATTTTATATAATTAAAACTACTTTGAAAGAAATGTTAAAAAAAATTGCAATGTAACTCTTAATTCTGTGTTTTAATTTCCTGAATTGAGAAATAATTTTTGACGGAGAAATACTCATAGGTTAAAAATCAATGAAATATAAGCAACTTGACCACTCAATTTGTTTCTGGTGAAATAGTGCTAAATTCTTTGGGGTGTAAATAATTCAAAAACTTTATCTCGATCCAGCACAAAAATATTTTGTGGCCAGTGTTCTCTTAACAAGAGTTACTTCTCTTTGTGAAACGTAAAGTGATAAACTGTACAAAATTTCATCAGAAAATTAGATTTTAATAAAACAGTAAATGAAACAATTGTTAGCAACAGTACACTAATCTAGTATTCGTCTGAAAGTTTGATAATTTACAAACTGTGAAGGAAGCACACATAAACCTCGATCGGTTTACGCTATTGAAATTTAATTTTGTTGATGCTTCATTCAACATTTATCATTAGAGTGGAAAACAAAAAAAAAGTACAAATGACTTGGAAAGGTCAAAATACATTCTTATAGTTATGAAATACAAAAATAAATACAAATACTCTGCACTTGATAATATTAAAATAAAACAAAAAATAAAATAGTTCAAGTTATAATACTGATAACAATACATGTATATGCAGGCGATGATAACATGCAATAACATACGATAAATACTTTTGTTCATCACAGTAATAGATATCACATGGTCAAAATATTTCCGTGTTCATAACACAAAAAATGACGAACAAAATAGCAATCTCTATCCAGAGAAGTCGTTCTTTTCTTTCAGGATCGACAACTCTGGACAGACGATGACTTCAAAGCACACGAAATACTCAAATAAAACCGTAGACAATTTCAACAGTCAGAGTATAGTATAGTGTGATTTTTTTTTTAGTCTTGCAATGTATATATAAAAAGAAATGAATTGAGCAAATTTTGGAGGATGAATTCACATCTAAAAAGACACGCACGCTAGCACACAATGTCCGATGCTGACTGCATCATACAAGTTATCAGAACTGACGGTGTAAAACACTTCATACAAATATCAGCAGTAAGAGAAACAAAGATTTATCATCAGGCATAAAAAAAAACATAGATCTATAATGAATATAAATGTTGTGAATTTTTTTAAGAAATACAAGTCTCACTGAAAAAGAGACCACTAGCTGTCACACGAGAGGTGTTATGCTTAGAAATGTGAAATCTTGTAAATTGTGCTGTGAATGTTTTTTAATGAATTTTTTAAACGTCTTCAGTAATCTTTATAATTATCAGTCAAAGAAACCCAGTGATGGATAACGGTGAAGTAATTTTATAGAAAGCATGTATCTGTATATTCAAAAACCCTTGGGACTGTATTACAATTAATAAAATCCAATGGTGCATTATTTGCAAATAATGCCCTCTTAGTTTGCTAAAGATGAAGTTAAAATGTGAGCATTAGATGGGAATCATTTGAGGCTACAGGACCAGTTGATGGGGTTATATCGGAGCCGTTCTCGGTCGATTCGTTGCTCTAAAAACCTGTTTGTTCGTGACTCTTGCCATTTTTTCTCCATCATCTGAAAAAAAAAAAGAAATCGTCAATATCATGATTATTTTTCTCTTTTATTTCTTGAAAGAGTAATCCAAATGATTTAATTAAATACAAGTATTCGTTGCCAGAATGTATGATTTGTGCTCAGTATTTTTATTTAGAGTAAAACCATATGAGAAGGAAAGGCTTTAACAAGCACCTAGTTTTAACGAACTTGTATTTTCGTTGTATTAGTCATTTTAATACTCTCTAAAATATATACATGTTTAAAATTTTTCTTCAATATTTTCAACATACATCTTTGTTTCCATCCCTGAAGTTTTGTAAGTAGTTATGTTTCTTGATGAAGGCATCTAGGTCTTTTTGTCGGCAGTCGTTGTCATAGGCAATGGACTGCGTGCTTTCCAGACATTTTTCTTTGAAAGCGAGGCTCTTACCAAGATCTTGATCCGCCATCTGCTGTTTAAGTACGTCCCGGAAATGTTTCCTGTCAAATTGAGGAGAAGAAATTATTGTACATGTAGGTGACAATGAAATATAGTTTGTAATGTGAAACTAAACAGTTCGTAATGTGTGATGGTCGAATAAGTAAATTACGGGATAAAATGCCCAAATTAATTTGATCAACAAAATTTGAGAGGGGTGCTAATGAATTTATGAAAAAACTGAAACTATACATGTATACTAGCTACGTCATGTTTTTGATATTTTAATAACAGATACATGCGTAATACCTGCACATCCACATTTTAAAGCAATATGAGCTGCATTTTGGGCATTTTATTTTGCTGTTAAAATGTGCTGCTATGATAAATCTCTATATGTAATTTAAACATTTATGATCAATTAGGCTAAAATAAAGTATTAAATATTTTTCAGAAGAAAGATTTCTGTACAGTGGAATGTGTAGTATTATATAAGAAATCAGTATTGTACAGGATGATAATAATGTGATTTTGCTTTAAACAAAGCTTAAATATGAACAACAGGAGTTATACACGTTCTTTTCTTCTGTCATTGAAATAGTTAATTACAATATTGCAACAAAAATTTCATTCAAACATCAAAGTTGCAGCTCATATTGCTTTAAGGAAAGACTACAATTAATTCAAAGATTAATTTATTTGAGTTTTCTTGTGTAAGGTGAAAAGAAATAGATGGATTTGACATGGAAAACTGAAAATAAAATTAAGGTTTTGCGGGATTTAAACTTCATATTCAGGGGTTATCGAACTATATTAAGGATTATTCTATATTGAAATGATATACCGTTGGTATTCAATGTCGTGAACAATGTATATTATTTCGCAAGGATCAATAAACGTACGACAAGAATTTACTTTAATTCTTTAATTTTGTCGGTTATTCTCGTCTACTTACAGTACTTCACACGATATCCTTTACATCAACTGAATTTAAATTGCTTATTAACCTAGATAGCCATACTATATATATATATATATATATATATATATATATATATATATATATATATATATATATATATATATATAACTCTGATTTAAGGACTAGGGAGACCAGACCATAATATATGGCTTAAGGAGACAATATACAAATTTTTTAAATTTGCTTTTTTCTAAAAAGAAATACCAGATCAATGATCTATAGGACACCATTTAGTCGACTCTTGCTTTATCTTTTCATTATAAATGCCTCCTAAAAATATATGAAAAAAATGGTCTCCCTAATATTTTATGTTTCTCTCATATGACTTAAGGAGACCAGTGTATATTTTTATAAATATAACTTATGGTTTAAGTAGACCATTTTTCTTTCATAGTAATTTCACTGATTATGCATTAATTAACATATTGTTTCCAACCAGAATAGTTGCGGATGGTCAAGGTCAGCAGAAAGATATTTGTGCTGATGTGACTCAACATGATCGGTACAAAACCTTGAATATAAAACTAAAGTCATTGTACAAGTGACTTATATAGAGAGTAGTTGCCCCCGTGGTGCAGTGGTTAGAGCGTCTGCTCTAGAGTAGCAAAGTAAGGAGTTGATCCTTATGTCGCAGGTTCAAATCCCACTGTGGGATGGGGAGACCGGTCCTTCGGATGAGACCGTATAAATCGAGGTCCCATGTCGCAGTACGTGCTGACAAGAAAAAAAACCCTCACTGCTCAAGCGCCGAGTATAGGACAAAATTTGCAGATCTCCACCGGCATGTGGTGGCGTCTCCATATGAGTGAAAAAATCTCGAGAGGGACGTTAAACAACACACAATCAATCAATCAACATATAGAGAGTATAAGCCCAGAGTAGTTTGTTCTGATATCCACGTTTAACTCTCAATGCTGTCGCCCACGTGGTGCAGTGGTAAGAGCCTATGCTCTAGAGTTGCGGTGTTAGGAGTTGATCCTTATGTCACATGTTTGAATCCCACTGTGGGACGTGGCGACCAGTCCTTCGTACAAACCGAGGTCCAGTGTCGCAGCAGATGCTGGCATGAAAAAGATCCCTCACTGCTCATTGGCCCTGAGTGCCGAGCATAGGTCATTTGCAGCTCTCCATCGGCAAGTGGTGGCATCTCCATATAAGTGAAAAATTCTCGAGAGGGACGTTAAACAACAAACAAACTCTCAATGCCCAATACAGTTTAACCTAAAAGTGAATGCAGACATAGATTAGACTTATTCTTTAGACCAAGTATAGTATACTCCATTTGTTTTGTTGAGGACACAAAGTTCACAGTGGACATCAAGTAGTTTTTCCTGCTATTTATACCCAGCTTCTTTTAATTTAAAACCATATAGTCATTGAGTGCATTCACTTTCCAACTAATTGTTTAAATTCTTTGTGATTTAAGAATATGTTTGACCAGTTGAAACAAAGAGTACATGTACTACATAAAATTTCATGGTTGTGATTAAGATTCAGTATAAGTTATGCCCAATCCAGTATAGCAATATGTGGATGCCATGTTCAATATACATATTTGCTCTCATTTAACTCGCACAGACCATGAATCAAAATAATTCAAATGCTTAAAAATCATTTTATTTTTACTGCTAGTCAAAATACAGTCACTCAAGCATATCCTTTGTTAATTTGAAAAAAAATGATAGTTTAACATTTATTATTAATACCATACCAAAGCACAAGATAGTGCAATTCTTACATAATCCAATGATTCATGCTGTGATTTGACATATTTAGATGTTTCTCATTTACAGTTCAATATACATGATATACCAGTACAATGTGACACTAACCAGTATCAATTAAATGGATCATTACTATTCTGTTTTTAAGAAGTTTGCAGGGTAAAAAGTAAAATAAAATAAAAATGTTGATACATTTATTGATTGCATGTGCTAAAAACTTTTACAAAATATCAAACATTGTATCATAAGAGCTTTTACAAATTAATTCAATACATTCAAAGGTACAAAAATCAAATTATTTTCATCCACAGTTTTATCAAATTCAGTTGAACAACAGCTACATCTATTATATAAAATGTATGGTAGTTGGCACTGATGGTATATCCTGAGCAAAGAAAAAGCATACCTAATCAAAGAATACAAAGCTCACTTCTGTAAATGTTATCTACTAGTAAGGCAAAGTCTCACTCAACAAACACTCTGGTAATGTATATCACCTGGATCCAAAATCTATGCAAGTTGGTCTGGGTTAGATTTAACTGCTCAATAACCCTGAAAGCAGGATGCATCATCTATGTTTACTGATCACCAAAGAGTATATTGTTAATTTGTATGAACCTTCTCTAAAAAACTGGTCATTAATCCAGAAAATCTAAGTCAAATCAAGGATTCGTACCCTGCAACATTTACATGTACATACATCATCTTTGCAAGTTTGTTCCACATACAGTTTATAATTACATGAGAATAGGACTGCTCAAAACACTTACTCTTGTGGAGTCCCCCATGTGGCGCAAAGGTTATAGTGTGTAATCTAGAGTCACGAGTAAGGATTTAATCCTTAAGTCTCAGGTTCAGATCCACTGGGGATGTGGGGACCAGTCCTTCATATTCGACCGTATAAACTGAGGTCCCGCCTCGCAGTTGATGTGGGTACAAAAAAGATCCCTTACTGCTACCCTGAGTGCCAAGTATAGGTCAAATTTTGCAGCTCTCCACCAGCAAGTAGTGGCATCTCCAAATGGATGAAAAATTCTTGAGAGGAATGTTAAACAACAAACAAACAAAAACAAAAAACACATGAAGAAAATGTAGATCAGGTCAAGCATCTGAAGTAAATCTGTTAATGTGCTTTAATCCATGCAAGTTTGTCCAGATAGAGCTTAGGAATGAACCTTGCTCCTTAAATTTTAACTGGGATACAATGCTAGGTATATAGCAAGAACTCATCTAGACTGTTGAGAAAAGCTAAAAAATATTTAGCAATTTCTTACTTGCATGATTTAAAAAAATCTGCAATCTAACATTATTTTTAAAAAATTTCAACACATTTTCTAATTTTCAACAAATTCAATGCACTATGAGATAAATTAACATTTCTAAACCACATACACTGTACTTGAAGTGCAATATACATGCATTATACTGTATGTTAAATCTTTACAGTTCTCTTCAAGTACTCTAATAGTATATAAAATATGAAGACTACCAACAGTGATCAAGCTTTAAAGTCCATTGAAACAATACAAAATTGGAGCAAAGCAAACACAGACCTCTAAAAACACCAGGTGCAATGGAGGAGAAAGCATTTCCTGCCATGTGCTCCTTGACATGATTGGGCAAATGGAAAAATCCACAAACAAGTCAGTGTAAACAATTTTGATGAAAAACATTAGTCAACATTCAACTTAATGAGATTGAATTTGCAATAACAATTAATTTACATGTAAGTGTACACACATGTATGCATATCCAATTTTACTAGATGAATTATTTCACAATATCCAAAATTGGACAATAATAGTTTCTGATCTAGCCAGACAACAGGAAATTTTTATTATTACTAAAATTACATGAAACTATTGAAGTCTGTGAGGTACAAATTATATCTAAAAATTATACACATTTTAACAAGTGTTTACAGTTTAGTGTATTTATTATACACAAATGATGACTTAGTAAGACATACCAGTAAAGTCCACAGATTGACTTCCAGATTTCAGCTCAAAGGCTTGAAGATTTTTAGTGGCTCTTTCTCTCATCATCTTTTTTCACTGATTATTTTCATTTTTATTTTCAAGACACTGTTTTTGTTGAGGTCTTTTAGCAGTTTGATGCAATCCAAGAACTCCTGAATTTCTTTCTTACCTGGCAAAAATAAAAATTTAAAAGTTTAAAATATAATCATACATGAAGAAAACTAGTAAAACTAGTGATAATGTAATAGACCTTTCAGATGTTCCGAAGCAGCTACATGTACCTAATTAAAAAATATAAAGTTTGAAGTATTTAGAGTCACCTGTATTCTGAACAAGGGATATGTGTATTTGACAGACAGATGAATGAATAGACTGATCACTATAGAGCACCTTAGTCTTTTTTCAATAATCATTATATTAGTGAAAATCAAATAGGAACTAGAGTGTTTCAAGGAATGTATATGTCGCCTGCTAGGTATCTTCATTAAAGAGGTAAATAAATCTAAGAGTGGTCAGCTATTAATTTAATATTAGCATGGAGGTTCAAGCATTTACCTCAAAGGAAAAAAAGGATCCAAAAGTAAAAGACTGGGATAGAATCTGGCAATCAAAGAAAATATGGTTCCCCAGTCCTCAAATGAATAATTTAATTGAAATTATGAGGAATAACTATTTATCATTTTATTAATACACATGTAGGTGCTTCCAACAATCGTCCGAGGAAAGGGATTTCAGACTGTCTTTACTTTAATTGTCACTTTGTCAGTCAACACGATTCATTGTGGAATACTGATCCCAATGTATTTTCATAGTATTTAAATATAAGTTTGTGTGGTAACTGAATTTCATACAGTTTCAAAGTATAGTATCATGAGCTCAAAAACATATATAAATGCTAATTATCAAAACCCTGCCTCTCAAAATTTTGGAGATATAAGGTGTGACAGTCGGACAGACAGACACCAGGTAAAGTGATCTCTAAGTGTCGTTCTGCTCTGCAGTTGACACAATAATGAACGTTAGTCAATTTTTGAGCATGCATATCACTTCAGTGATGAAAGGAACACTGAAGTGGTAAGTCTATCCTAATTATTTGAAAATACGGCAACCCCATTGGTCAGAATATAATACATATGCTGTCCAGCCTTAATTTCATTGGCATAAAGCAGCACAAAACAAAATTTGATTGGATGGTACAACTTGTTTTTCTAGGGGGCGCTGTTGCAACCCTGGAAAAGAAAATAGGACTGCGGCTTGCCCCTCGGGGGCACTTACTAACCGGAAGTAAACAAACAACAGAAATAGCAATACACTAGAAATATGTCCATAGGACATGAATGCCCCACCGAGTGTATAGTAATGCAACATGAAATTTTGTGTAAGTGTATGAAGTTTGATGAGAATATCTTGAATAGTTTCTTTACAATTGAAATTGAAATCTAAAAAAAAATGAATAGATGATAAATTCTCTCCAAATTATGTATAGATGCATAGCCTTAGATAACAATATCTTATGGTTTTAAAACCATGCAAAATGCAAATTAAAGGAAAGTGAGGTCAAGGTCACAGGAAAGGTCAAAAGTTTTTGAAATAGTTGAATAGGTCTTACTAATTATGTATCAGCATATTAAGTTTGATAAAAAATATCTTCAATGATTTCTTTAAAACTGAGCTAGTCACAAGCGTGGCGCCATGGTTAGAATGTCTGCTCTAGAGTCATGAAGTAAGGAGTTCATCCTTACATAGCGGGTTTGAATCCCACTGTGGGATGTGGAGACCAGTCCTTCGGATGAGACCTTATAAACCGAGGTCCCGTGTCGCAGTAGGTGCTGGCATGAAAAAGACCCCTCACTGCTCAATGGCCATGAGTGCAGAGTATAGGACAGAATTTGCAGCTTTCCACTGGCAAGATCCAATTCTCGAGAGGGACTGCAGATTACCTGACGTATAATGATTGACCGAAATCCCTACTAGGCTTTAAACTTTTCATTCTTGACCTGTATATCGTCAAATGAGATTTTTCCAGTTAATTAAGGTAAAAATTACTAATTGATAAAACTGTAAATGATTTTTTTTTTAACCTGAGCCAGATTTTTACTTCTCTTAAAAGTGTCTGTATTTGACTGTTGGTTCCACCTATCTCAAGGAAATGATCTTTAACAGTAAATGTTAGAAATCATAATCTGTTCTCTATCTCCTATAATCATGAGAAAAGGTGCTGAAAATTAACAGATAGAGTATTAAAGGCTTTTTTCAATATTCAATTTATTACTGAAAATCAAAAGTATAAGGCAAAAAGGAAAAATAAATGTTGTCATTAATTAACCTTGCATATCTCTACAATTTTCTGATAAGAAAATTATGCCCAATAAATGCAGTATCATCACCCTTTGCCTGCCCTTAAATTAAATTATGAAATTTTGATAGATTTTGATCTAAGCAATTATTTAAAACAAGGTTTTTTTAGGGGCACCCCTGCCCTAGATTTATAAAAAAAAAAAAAAACCTACAAAAAATGTGAAAACCTATTTCTATCTTACTTGTTTATATTTATTACAAATGTCCTCATAGTCAGCATAGCCCAGAATGATAGACAGCAGACTCTCACCATGAACATTTTTAGTGTCCTGGTTCGAATCCATTTGTTGGCAAATTTTTATTTTTTCAAACTTTTTACCTGTATAAACACTAAAGAACGAGTGCACTTATGGGCCCCGGTAAAATGTGAAAAAATGAAGAATCAAATTAAGCATAATTTTCCATCTCAGATCATTAATTGATATCTAAACCATAAGATTCAACAAATTTTATTGCTGAAATTCATGAATATACAAAGAGCAAAGCCATACAATGTGGTAAGGGTCAGCCGACATTCGTGATTTTCTATAGTAAATCGAGGACAGTCATTCATTTCAAAGCTTTTGTTTATTGTCAGCCTAACATTGTACAAACTTGTGCGATTGACAAAAAACGCATTATATATTTATAAAACTTGTGTGAAAGTAGGAAATTTGTACAAGATTAGGCTTGTACTTAAAATATTAAAAATGTATGAAAAGTTCAATGTTTTTCCTATAGCAAGTGAGAGCTATTTACCTGTATGACCTATGTTGAACCCACCCATGGAATAAATTACTTAAAATACCGGTAGTCACGTGAGTTCTACCCAGGTAAACATTCCTCAAAGATGCTCACTGTAAAACATAGCCACGTTTTGTATCATTATATCAAAGTCGTGCGGCATAGAGAAGTTTGTATGTATTTGGTTTTAAGAACACGGGAGGGTTAGGAGAGTTTAGAGTCGTTAAAATGTCATCATAAATAAAAGCGTCAAACATTTTTAACATTCATGCAAGACAATGGTATCAGTATTGAAAGCCACCTAAATACACTTTTTTTCATTTTAAAATTTATAGGAACTAATGTTAATACTTATTGTATTATTTCAAATGCAAGCGTGCAAATTTCTTAGTTTGATCACTATCGATACAGGCATCTATACAACTTCATTCGATTTTTTTCTCGGGTAAAATAGCGCAAGTATCATTCGGCAAACGCACCTGTCAAAGATCCACCATCAGATTGTTCAAGTGTCTGATTTAAATGTCTCCTTCCCTTGATTTAAATAAACGATCGAAACTCAAAACAGGTTTGATATGACTTTTCCGGACCTATAGGCATTTAAAAAACTTCATTTGTTTCAAATCCATGCTGATTTAGGTGATGTTTTAACATGATTTTAATTAGAAATGTCCACTTGTGTTCAACTATTACCAAAAGAGAACAATTTGGTAATATATTCTAAAGTAATACAGCACTGAAAAAGGGCCCATTAAGCATTGCTTAAGTGCACTTGTCCTTGCACTTTGATTTTTTTATACAGGCTTTTGCATTTTACTTATATTTTCTTCCTTAAATGCATGTTTGGTGTTGATATAAAAGACATCTATAGAAATGCAGATCATAAATTCTCTTTAACTAAACGCAATTAACCGGAACTATACCTCATTGTAAGCACACTTTGTTTGAGGACACTAATCATTCACTTTATGTTACTCGATACTGCAGGTGTCAGGAAAAAAAATCATGCTGAGCAATAATTGCTGTGTTTTCCTTTCAAGAACATAATGACGTGTAATAGTACTGTTGTGCCAGTGGGAGAGATACTGTTCTATGCAGAGTTGATGCAGTTCATTCCTAGGGAAAAATGTGTGCATTAGCGATATGTTATGCTAAAAATGCATTAGGGTTTTCAGATTAGAAAAGAATGTGCTAAGGTCAGTTAAGGTTTTATGTCCCGTTGCCATTACTCAGTCAGACATCAAGAATGACCCTCATACAAAGGATGTATCATTCTGTAAATACTGAGGTAAGATCATATGAACACACAGTTGACTAGAATGAAATATATCGAGATAACAAACAGTATTCAAGCTCAAAAGCCCATCAAAAAATACAAAATAGGAGCAGAGTAAACACGGACCTCCAAAACATCAGAGGTGGGATCAGGTGCCATGGAGGAGTGAGCATCCTCTGCAGACCGGTCACACTCGCCATGTGCTCCTTGTCACAACTGGGAAACAATGGAAAAATCCATCAACAATTCAGTATGTAAATAAAGGCCTAACAATAAGTATGAAAAACGTCAGTCAGCATTTGACTTAATGATAAATTGTATTTGCTGACAAGGTCATTGTATCGACCATAGAACTTACAAAATGATGACTTTAAACAAGACTGCTGATATTCCTGTTTCAGCAACTTGTTTGTCAATAAGTTACCTCATTAGAGGATGCTCTTGCGTATCGAATCAACTGAGAGATATAAACTCTGTGTGCAGGTGATGAAGGTATATTGCTGAATAAGTAAAGGAAGTTGACAATTGAAAAGTTAAAGCCATCTCATTTGTCATAAAGCTTGGTTGTTAGATTACCATTAATGTAGAACTAAAGCAATACATGAGAAACAAGAAACTACACACATGTGGCTTAAAGTCAGTGTCCGAAACATATATCGATAAGCTTTTTCTAAAGACTGAAACCAATATTGGTCCTATAGGTCAACTCATATTTTTAACTAGAAGTGTTCCTTTGATATACTATATTTTACTTATTTTCTATAGACTTACTATACCCTGAAAAAAAAATGGAAAACAGGAACTAGCTGTTT